GCACAATAAATCATTAATTATTTCTGTTTAATTTAATATCGGAGTCCAAACGATCTTTTATTTTGAAAGATCTTTTCTTTTTACATAAGACTATATTCTCTTGGTTATATTGGTCGCTCGAGCACCAAAATGTAACCCACAAGCTAGCAGAATGAGTAAGAAAAAGACATCTTTGCGAAAGTAAATTGGTCTAGTAAAGAGCCCACAAACTGCCAAGGAATGGATCCGCAACCCCATTTGTCATCAAATCAGGGGAATCCAGCAAATCTGTGCAAGAAGGTCAACTGTACTGCTGTAGATTGCGTAAATGTAGATTGCAGTAAATGACGACGGCTTTGTTCACAGATCGCGTTTTTTCCACATGCAAGTTCGTTATTTCCAATGAAGACACTTGGCTTGCGTCCTTCTAGGTGTACCTAGTTAAAAACATTTTCAGAATGCTGCAAGCGCACCGCAAGTCACGGGACAAGAACTTACCAATCAGCTTAATAATTTGTATGAAATATACACATTTCAGTGGACTAAATATCTCAGATCATATCATTTTCTCCATAAAGAAAACTTAGTCAACAGTGAGGTTGCTGGTATGTAATATAATCTCCAGCAAGTGGTCAGATATATATATATGCTCAAATGACTCAGGAAGGAGCTCATTTTCAACTGTCAATCAAAGACCGTTTCAGTGGTGTGATTCGGGTGCTTTTGTGATAAATGGGACCTTCTCATTTTGTTATTTTTTCCCTCTTGCATCTCTCTCAGTTGAGGCCAAGAGACCCTTGTGAGATGGTCAAGGACTCGTAGAGCTGCTACCCACAACATCCAAAAGCCCTCTGTGCAGTAGAATATCTGCTTTCAAATCTGATTGTAAAATATTCATACGCTTCTGAGATGGATGGTATTGTGGCATTGCAGTGCCCTCAATTAATCTTTTAAACTTCTCACCTATGGTGTGAATGGTCCACCACTCTGTATCCATGAATGTTATGTAATGCGTTTTCTGGGAGTCAGTGAATCAGAGTTTTTGTTTCTGTGTTTGAAGTGGATGGCTACCAGCTCTTTGTTCACATTGCATCCAGTTCTAGTTCGTTTTCCTTATTCAGATCTGATCATAAGATCTGATTTTCTAAGCCAGCGGTTCCCAACAGGGGGGTCGCGGCCCACAAGGGGCCTCAGCGAGCTTTGTGGGGGATTGCGTCATATTTAAAAAAAATCTTAGCAGTGGACAATTAGGGGAATGATCATGTTGCCTTAATTCATTTTATCCTCTAGCTCAGTGGTCCTAAACCAAATTGGCCTGCACAAGAAATCATTAATTATTTCTGTTTTATTTATTATCTGAGTCTAAACGATCTTTTATTTTAAAAATCTTTTATTTTGAAAAATTACCGTATTCTCTTGCTTACATCTTGGTCACTTTAGCGCACAAATTTAACCTACAAGCTGTAAAATAATTAAGAAACAGACGTCTTTGGAAAGTAGGGGAAAAGGCCCAGTGAACGACTCGCGAACTGCCAAGGAATAGATCCGCAACCCACTTGTCAACAAATCAGGTGAATCCAGCATGTCTGTGCAAGTATGTCAACTGATGAAGATTGCAAACGACAACATACTTTTAGGGGCGGTTCGCATATTGTGTATTTCTAGAGTCTGCAAAAGTTTGTTGTTTTCAATGGAGGTGTGCGGCTTGCTTCAGCTTTAGCTTGAATAGCTTACATTTCAACAAGACAAATTTTCTCAGACAAACACAAAACACACACAAACACTGCAGTCCTTTTGTACTTTTCTCCATAAATAAAATTGTATCAGGGAGTGACAGCAATGTTTTGTCAGTTTGTCATCCTTTGAGAAATCGGTTGATGGTCGCATAGCAACCTACGAAACCCCCCAACCCCCCGCAGTAAAATTGTTAACCGTTGACTGGTGCGTGGTGATAAAAAGGTTGAGGACCACTGCCCTAGCTGACCAAAAATGGACAAATTTGTAATCCATCCTCCACAAAAAACACAGAGTCTCACTGATTCACCTCACAGCAATCCTCATACTAATTGATAGAGTATAACAAATAACATGCAAGTAGTAAATTGTAATAGCCCACATTATTTTTTCCCCTTATAAACCAGTATGAGGTGACGCAGTGGCGCAGTAGGTTGCTAGGTCGCTGGTTCGAGCCTCTGCTCAGTTGTCGTTTCTTTGTGGAGTTTGCATGTTCTCCCTGCGTTCGCGTGGGTTTCCTCCGGGTGCTCCGGTTTCCCCCACAGTCCAAAGACGTGCGGTACAGGTGAATTGGGTAGGCTAAATCGTCTGTAGTGTGTGGTTTAACAATAAGTTAATAATTAGTAACAGAATCAAATGTTTTCTATCACTTAAGCATTTTGTATGATTTAGTGGTTGTTGTAGTAGTAATTATAGTAAAATCTAGCATGGTCTAATAATCAAAACATTCTTATTGTAAATACATGGTGCGATGTGGTGTCGCAGTGGGTAGCACATTCGCCTCACAGTAAAAAAGTTGCTGGTTTGAGCCTCGGCTGGGTCAATTGGCATTTCTGTGTGGAGTTTGCATGTTCTCCCCGTGTTCGTGTGGTTTTCTCCAGGTGTTCCGGTTTCCTCCACAAGTCCAAAGACATGCGGTACAGTTGAATTGGGTATGCTAAAATTGACCGTGTTGTATGTTTGAATGAGTGTGATGGATGTTTCTTAGTGATGGGTTGCAGCTGGAAGGGCATCTGCTGCGTAAAACATGTGCTGAATAAGTTGGCGGTTCATTCTGCTCTGGCGACTTTAGATTAATAAAGGGACTAAGCCGAAAAGAAAATGAATGAATGAATGTAATTACATGCTAACACCAAATCAAGGCCACAAAACAACCTGCTTCATAGTCCCTTTTTCTGGGCACTTACTGGAAAAAAAACTTTTAAAGTAAAAACAGAAACAAACAAAATGTGCAGTGCAGAGGAGCACAAGGAAAGGGTTTAGCTGAGTGGTTTTGCTGGTCTGTATGATAAGTTCTGCCTTCTTGTAAACATATACCAATAGAAGAATGTGTATTTGAAATGTGCAACATTACGCACCCTAAAGCCTAGTTCACACTAGAGGATTTTAAGCCTGATTTGAGCCCGATTTGGAAGTTAACGAGCTCGCCGACAGATCGGGCTGTGATCGGGAAGAAATCTGCAGGTGCACGGTCCTCGCCACTCTTTGAACTACTGAACAACGCATCAACGAGGCTCGCTGACACGTCGCCGACACCTCGCAGACAGAAATCCAACATTTAGCATGCTAAATATTCTGGAGCAGTTGGCCGACTCAACCCCATGTGTGGTCCGATGTAGTGATGAGCTGCAGCCAATGAGAGAGCATATCAGCATAAGCTGAATGCCTGTGTGCTCAGGAGCTCAACAGAAACATCTGTGATTGGTCAGAATGGGCATTAACGCACTCGCTTCATTCTGTGTTAACACAGACATGAGAGTAGGCTATATTAACAGTGGAACTAGAATTCTGTAACTATTAATATTACCATACTGCTCATTCTGACCGTTCTCATATAAAACGCCATATTGTCACAACAAATTTACATTAAAAGCTATTATTGAGACAATAAAATTAAGCTTTGAATGTCTGGCATCATATTTAATGACACCATTACCCTAAAAATATAATCTTTTTTTGGTAATACAGCCTATAAATATGTAGTTAAAATATTAGAACATGCAAAGGTCTTGGCTTTCATTTTTACTTTCAAACAGGAGCTATTTCGCAGCACAGAATATGCTGTTTTGAAAGATATCTGAAGTAAATTGATGTTTTTGCCATCTGAAAGTTTTGTTTATGTTAGCAAGAAGTTGCTAGGCAAAAAAAGGCACACATATTTAAAGTCACAGCGAAAAGTATCAGACATGCATGCAGTCATTTTAACCAATATGGTAATTTAAGGCAGAAATGCTCAGTTCTTTACTGTTTTGTAATAAAAAAAATAACAATGTCAGAAAGAAATACACTGATAGTTAGAAAACGGCAGGGTGTTATTTGTTCGTTTTATGTCAAAGAGTTATACAATTACAAAAATTAAAAACTCTCTGTGTATCTATCCACTCAAACCTTGCAGATGAGTGATTAATCCGCTGATAAATCAGCTGATTTGACGATGTTTTTAAATGCTTTCTCCAAAGCTTGAAATGCTGTCAGTGATGTAATCAGCACAAAAGCAACCAATAGTGTTCAGCTTTTTCTGATGACTCCTCCCTCAAAATTTAATTGGCTGTAGTTTTGGTAGCTTGAATGAGGTGTTGGGGAATGAGTTGTTGTCAGATCATGTAGTGTGTGACCCCTCCTCTAATGGATCATTCACGGAGTGTTGCGTAGTGTGAACACCACAGAGATTGAAAGACACAAAGTCAAGTCATGTAGTGTGAACGGCACAGCGATCTGCTGATGTTTAAAATCCTGTAGTGTGAACTAGGCTTAAGTGAGTGGTCCTCAATCTTTTTATCCCCACAGACTGGTCAATGGTTGGGGGTGGGGGTGCGCTTGCAGTGCACTTGCGGCATTCATTGAACTGAGAGTGTCTGTAAGGCGCTAGCTCGTCCCGCCACTTGTGTGCAAAAGTCATACTCGTCCATTGGAAATAATGAAAACGCGATATGTAAGCGGCCTGTCATTTGTGGCCTCCAGCAGTTGATCTTTATGCACAGACCTGGTAGATTCACCTGATTTGTTGACACATGGGTTGCGGATCTATTCCTTAGCAGTTCGTACCGCCCGGCCCTTATACCGCCCGGCCCCATGCCTAGTTCTCAAAGACTGACCTTTTACAGTACAACATACAACAATGACATTAGGGGGGACTAAAACAAAAATAAAAAAAATGGTTACAAAGTACCCTGCTGGGTCTGTTGGCATTTGTGTGTAGAGTTTGCATGTTCCCCCTGTGTTTGCGTGGGTTTCCTCTGGATGCTCTGATTTCCCCCACAAGTCATTTTTCAAAATAAACTATTTTTCAAAATAAAAGATCGTCCAGACTCAGATAATAAATAAAACAGAAATACTTAATGATTTCTTGTGTGGACCAGTACAAATCGATCTACGAACAGGTACCGGACCGCAGCCCTAAGTAACATATTTTAATTTCTTAAAAAATCTAAATAGTGCCCTCTAGTGAATTTGTCATTTGAAACATGCAACAAAACATACCCTGAGCAATGTTTTTTACAGGCTCAGACACGTTTTTACAATGAGCCTTGGCTGCTTACATAAGCAGCAGACATTGTAATCAGATGTATACCGTTTCAAAATTAGATCAGACCACAAGGTTGTCAAGACACTCTACACTTTATTGCTGTCGTTTTTTCCTGGCAACACAAATTGTAATTGTTAACAACCCAGCGATTAGCATCTCTCCTGTGCACTAATGCGCTTCCCAAAAGGGAAATTATGGGCCTCCAAATGTGGCCGTCTCAGGTTGCGTCCCCCTCCATCTGTGATGACAATGATACCAAAATGAAAATACTGAAACAGTGACATCATCATCATCATTATGATTATAAAATTAATCCCTTTTTTAACAGGATTGATTTTGTTCTCCTCGACTACGATATGAGGCATGGTTTTGACATTTACACCATGGGCAGAAGAGGATGACGAATGATGGAATAACGGGGGATACAGATTAGTATTCCTGAGTGAGCCGGGGGCATAGTCAAGAATCCTGAATCCGGTGTCTGGCTCCATGTTTTGCCGTGTGCCGGTGGAGTGTGTGGAAGATGCCGAGCTCGCTGCAGAGGAGCTCTAAACGCACAGCTTAACACCAGCGCTGGGGAGATCGGCTCCTCTCCTCTCCACTCCTCAGCTCTTGAGGAGGCGAAGGGAACCAGAGACCGCAGAGAGAGGAGGCAGAGACTGAGAGTAGACGCTTTTTTTTGCTTAATTTTTCCCGGCTGCTTGGACTATCATTCTGTGTGTGCGCGCGTGTGTGCGTGTGTGATTTTCCCAGCTCTCTCTCTCTCTCTCAGAACTGTCTTCTGGTTTTCTGGGATGGTCTGAAGAAGACTTGATTGTGATGCGTCTTGCACGGAGGTAAGTCCAAGTGTGTATCGCTGAAGAACCAGTTGCTTTGAGGAATGAATGAAGTTGGCATTGGGGATTTCTTTCAAATTTTTTTTAATTATCTACCATAAATATCTAGTCGTGTGTGTGTGTGTGTACAGTGCAATTTGAGACATCTTCTCAAGTGTGATAGGCACAGGTTGTATCGCTGGTTCTGACCGTAATGTTGTAGGAACGTTGCCTAGCAATGTTGCAACCTTCTCAGAGTGTAGAGGTGTGATTTTATGCTCTGTTGGATGACGGTGAGGCATCTTTAATGCACAGAGCACACTGAGTTTCTGTGTGTCGTCTGTTTGCTTGGACTAGAGTCTGTGTGTGCTTTTCAGAAAGCGAAGGAACTCGGGTTTGGTGTCTTTTTCTCTTGGCTGCTCTGTTACACACTGAGCCAAACGTCTGCTGCGTCTGCGGCTCCCTCGAAACTCTCCACACTGCAGGGGCCGAGCATCTGACAGCCTTCAGCACCTCTCGTGCGCTTGTGTGTGTGTGTTTGTGTGTGAGACTGTGTGCTGGTGTGAATGAGATTATGTGTCCATGTGAGCGAGACTGTGTAAATATTGCCGCTTTACCTCTGTGGTTGCGTAACTGGCGTGCGAAGCGTTCATAGAGCGTGTGCACGGCACTGGACCTGCGCTCTGCTAACAGATAGTGCTGTGAATCTCAAACACTCTCTTCATCACGACTCGCTCCAGCCGGAAACACAATGTTCTTACCTGCAGGAATGTTCAGGCAGGATGCTCACCAAATTAAAAACTTGTTGAATATGTTGATTCAATCACGAATGATAAAAGTATGGATGCTGTATGTTGTATGGGCTATGAAACTTAAAGAGATGTGGGCCAGTGCTAAAACATTCTGGCATTATTTAGTCACCCTTCACATGTCAATAACCTATTGGATTTTTTAGTGTCTTCCATTGAATACAAAAGAAGTTTGCAAAAGGCTGGAAATCGTTAAGCCTCGATTTTATGTTATTTTTTTATAGTATTTGTTTTTTTTCCCCACTATGGAGGTCAATGATTTCCGTTTTTACCATTTAACATTCAGAGTATACTCTTGTGTTCAGAAAGAAACTCATAAAGGTTTGGAATTAATTGAGGATTCGTTTAATTTTTGTGTGAACTATCCCTTTAGAAACCGGCACAAACATGGAGTATGCTGCCAAGAACAAAAAGTACCACAGAGTACTCCGTTTTTAACCTTTGGAACATCAATTTTCCTACATGTGCATACCATGTTTTCTCGACACGAAACTTGCTAAAATAATGTCATGTTCGTAGGCATGGGATGATAACTGGTTTCAAGGTTTACCGCAGTTTTAAAAAATCAGGGTTTTAAAACCGTCAAAGTTTTCTGTAATACTGTTCCTAAGGTATTTGTACGTTTTTTATTTTATTAATTATTTTTTGTACAAGTTTTTCACAACAATTTTAGTTAGTTTATTTAGGGCAACAGAATATCTGGCAAAAAAAGGAACCTCTACATCAGGGGTACTAATCTCATTCCTGGAGGTCCAGAGCCCTGCAGGGTTTAGCTCCAACTTGCCTCAACACACCTGCCGGAGTGTTTCAAATATTCTGTACCTAGTAAGACCTTGATTAGCTTGTTCAGGTTTGTTTGATTAGGGTTGGAGCTAAAATCTGCATGACACCGGACCTCCAGGAACTCCAGTTTGTTGATCCCTGCTCTACACCAACTGATCCAAAATATTTAAATATGAAACTTGTTGATATTTACCTAGACATTTAAAAAGAACTTATTTTGGAGCAATAATCATAATCTTATACCGGCCCATGCCGAGTACAAAGACTGACCTTTAACAGTAAAAAATAAACTTTTTTTATTACAACAGTGATATTTTTAGGGGACTTAACGTAAACTTTTAAAAATGGTTACAAACTACCCAGCTTGGTCAATTGGCATTTCTGTGTGGATGTTCTTCCTTTGTTCGCGGTTTCCTCCGGGTGCTCCAGTTTCCCCCACAGTACAAAGAGATGCCCAAGTTAGTGAATTGGGTAAATGAAATTGGCCGTAGTGTATGAGTGTGTGTGTGTGTGTGTGAATGTGAGAGTGAATGCCAGCAGCTAGCTCTCTGCAACTCTCACATGGTCCCCACTGAAGCTAAGCTAAGCATTAAAGTACCTGGTTGAGAGACGATATGGGAAAGCTACTGTAGGTTGCTGCTGGAAGTGGTGTTAGTGAGACCAGCAGGGGTGCTTAACCTGTGATCTGTGTGGGTCCTAACGCCCCAGTATATTGATGGGGGCTCTATAGTGTTCGTTAAGCCATTAAATTCCAGGATGTTTTTCGAAAAAGAGTAGGGATTTTCGTCATCCTGATCAAATTTGCCCACTGGCCACTGTCCATCATGACCTCCACACTGATTTTATAATTGGCTTCATCACTCCATTCTCCTCTCCACCAATCAGCTGGTGTGTGGTGTGTGGTCTGGTGCAATATGGCTGCCATAGCGTCATCCAGGTGGATCCTGCACACTGGTGGTGGATGAGGAGATTCCTGTAAAGTACTTTGAGTGTCTAGAAATGTAAGGAATTATTATTATTATTATTATTATTATTATTATAAACAGATGTTTCCCAGCACTTAATTGGGCCTGGAAGGGCATCCGCAGCATAAAACATATGCTGGATAAGTTGGCGGTTCATTCTGGCCCCTGATAGATAAGGGACTAAGCCAAAGGAAAATGAAAGAATGAAAGTTATCATTGGCAAACATACTATAAAATGTGCCACTGAAAATGGTGATGTCCTGCTCCTCTCCATTACATGTTTAGAGTATAAAGTTGAAAGCTAAATTATGAGCCCTCGTGTGAAATTTTTCTAATATTATTTTCAAATACTTTTCAAGAATTGTTTAATGGAGAGATTTTTTTCAACATACTTTAAACAATAATTTTAATAACTTATTTCCAGTAATTTCTTTCATTTGTCCTTTCCTTGATGACTGTAATGTTTTACTAGTTATTTTTGCAAAATACTATTCAGCTTAGAGGGCAGTTTTAAGGCTTAACTAGGTTAATTAGGCAAATTAGCAAAGTCACTGGACAATAGTGGTGTGTTTCGTCACCAAAAAAGATCTAATGATATTTACCATAGCAATTTTCAAAGTTGTATTTCAGCAAAGCTTAAAGAAATAAGATTTTCTCCATAAGAAACTAATTATTGAATACAATTTGGAAAAAAACAAACATCTTGCTATGTTAAACATCCCTCGGGAAAAGTTTGAAAAGAAAAACTAAAAAAACAACTAGCATAAAAGTGTTCATGTCTTTGTACAGCTTGTAAACCTTGACTTGTGTTTAGGAGTTAATGTTTGGAATGAAGTCAATTTGAAGAAAAATTGTGTCCAAATATTACTGGAATTCATGAACCAAAACACTGGATTGTTTTTCATTACCAAGTTTTAATTACCATTGACATACTCAAATATTTTAAAACATGCAATCATTTTGTTTTCTCATTTATTTATTTTTTGTTAAAACACTTGTGATCTTTTATTGTAAGTGATCTGAAGATAAATAAATGTGAAATTAAATGTAGTCATTTTACAGATTACCAGGGAAATGAACCCATGACATACAGAGCAAGTACCATCTTGTGAGAGGCACAGTTAGTCAGACTCAGAGCTAGTGGCGATTGAATTTGCTACTAACAATACAATAGAACAGCAACTGTTGTTTGATTTATTTAGTATTGACTTAAGACTAAAGTATGTTTTGAGATCCCTTTTTTCCAGTAACAATAGCTTTCCCAATGGGTAGTGTGTAATGTGACAGTTTCTATAGTGCTATAGTAATATTAACAATATAATGCGTGTCCAATTAAAGGGCAAATATATTTCATTTATTCATTCATTTTCTTTTTTGGCTTAGTCCCTTAATTCATTATGGGTTGCCACAGCGGAATGAACCACCAGCTTATCCAGCATATGTTTTAGGCATCGGATGCCCTTTCTGCTGCAACCCATTACTGGGAAACACACATACATTCTTTTTCACACACATACAATACGGACAATTTAGTCAACCCAATTCACCTATACCGCATGTCTTTGGACTTGTGGGGGAAACCGGAGCACCCGGTGGAAACTCACACGAACACGGGAAGAACATGCAAACTCCAAACAGAAATGCCAACTGACGCAGTCGAGGCTTGAACCAGCTGCAGAAACAAATGCTGGATAAGTTAGCGGTTTATTCCGCTGTGACAACCCCAGATTAATAAAGAGACTAAACGGAAAAAAAAATGAATAATTAAATTAAAATTTTTTTATTTAATTTTGTAATTTTTAGAACTTTTTATAATTTCATTTAATTCAATTTAATTATTATTTAATTTAAATTTATGATTTTTTATTATAGTTTTTTATTTGATTTAATTTAATCGTATTATTTTTTACTATTTAATTTAATTTTATTATTTTAAAAAATAATTTAAAAAATTAAAAAATTCTTTATTATTTAATTTAATTATTTTATTATTTTTCATTCATATATTTTCTTGTGGGCCTCATCCAGCACGTTTTTACGCAGCGGATGCCCGTCCAGCTGCAACCCATCTCTGGAAAACATCCACACACATACACCACTGACAATCTAGCCTACCTAAATTCACATGTAACGCATGTCTTTGGATGTGGGGGAAACCGGAGAACCCAAAGGAAACCCACGCGAACACAGGGAGAACATGCAAACTCCACACAGAAACGGCAACTGAGCCGAGGTTCGAACAAGCGACCTTCTTGCTTTGAGGCGACAGCACTACCTACTGGGCCACTGCATCACCACTTTTTTACTCCCTGACAATGCAGGAAAGATAAGCTGAAGTAAGTGAGTGGCTGAGATGTTTTACTTTTATTTCTTCCTCTGATTTTCATGTTCTAAAATTAAATATTTTTTTGTTAAATTTTTTGCCTAAATTCGGCTTAAATACTACTATATTTGGGGGAAAATA